CAGGTGGCATACAGGTGGCATACAGGTGGCATACAGGTGGCATACAGGTGGCAGTGCCAATGCGGCCACCTGTGCTTCTGACTGTGCAGACGGGAGGGAAGTCATTAACATTTTCTGATGTTGTTTTTGGTATGCATTTTATAAACAGGCTTGCACGGTGCCTTGCTGTTCATGCTTGTTGCCTTACACCTCTTGGGTTGATGGTTCGAATCTCCAGTATGTGTGGCTGTGTTGCAGTTAGCCCTGTGTTTTGTGAACTATCTCTAGCAGAACAAAGACATGCAGTTAGGGTAATTGGCATCTTTAATTTACTTATAGTGTATTATCATGTCTGTGTGTGTGTGTGCGTGTGTGAGAGAGAGAGAGAGAGAGAGAGAGAGAGAGTGTCTGTACCCTATAACTGGCATCCTCGACTGGCATCCCATCCAGCGTGTACCTCTGCCCTATGCTGTCTGGGTTAGGCTCCAACAGCCGAGCTAATGTGGTAACAAGGTCTAGTAATTACAATGACTGTGAAAGAACTGGGCATCATTTTAGACTTAGACAATCAGACAGGTTCATTTAATGCCATAAATATGTTATATAAGGAGTCTATAACTGCATATGCAATATATATGTAGGTCCTTTATTTGTAGGGAATGAAATATTTATGGCTTGTAATAGCTCTGAAAAAGCTCATAGTTCCTTTGGATCAGTGGTGTTGTAATCTCCACCCATGTTTGATGTTTCTGTCTATCTAGGGGGATTAAGAGTGCCAAGGTATATTATTGCTGTGAAAATAAATGTCACAATATTTATGTCACCTTTAACATCTTATCCTCAGGTGTCAATATAAAGTGGACTTACAGCAAACACAGTTGATTTCTGACTCTCTGGAGGTGAAGTTGATTGAACAGGAGCCGTGAGGTTAGGACTTTGATGAAATGCACATAACTCAGCTCAAGCCCCAAATCCTGCTCTGAGTTCATAGTCCCACCACACAGACCTGTGTCCGTGTCGGGGGGGGGGGGGGAATACAAGTGAGTAGTGTCTTCAGCGCCATCCAGTGGATAATAATTGTCACTGTCAAGTGATGGCACTGCCTGTGAGGATCTCCATAAATCTCTAAGGTCCCAAAGCTTGCAATTATGCATTCTGTGCGAATGATTGTTTGAGTGCAGTGCCATGGAAACCACTGCATTTGCCCTCCAAGTGTTCATATAAAGGCAGTCCAGTGCTACTTAAACAATATGAACCCTGACACTATTACATTGGTTACATCTACCAGTCACACAGCCCCTTGTAATGGGAAAAACATAGTTTGAAAAGAACACTTGCTTTCAGAAGGAGTGATATGTTGCCTCAGATACTGTATGAGGAAATTCTGTTAGTCTGAATACTGGATAGGGTGTTGCCCGGTTTCATGCAGAAAAACAGTTTTGTGTTTGCTAAGGCAGTCAGGGTTTTATATGAAGTAGAGGCCATTAAAAAAGTAGGTACAGGAAAATATCTTCTCAGCATCCTGAAGGGACACCGGAAGTACAATGGAGTTCGAATGGGCAACGGCCTTGGAACAGAGCCTTGGGGTACAATATTGGGCAATGAGATGGTGAATTCCTGCAGGAGACACGATAAATGGACCAGCACCAGAAAAGGAATCCTTGGACCGGCCAGGAGTGGTGATTTGACAGCAGCAGGGAGAACGACTGACCCTGTGGAGATCTGACATGGACTGAGATTCCAGTTAGTAATGAGGGGGTTGGGCAGGATTAGGAGGGAAAAGGGTTTAAAGGAAAAAGGGGGGGGGTCAAACTAAGAGAGCTTGTTCTTTAGGTCTGAGGTGTATGAAAATGCGAGAGATATTCTGGAAAATAAACACAAAGAGGAGGAGCACTAACACACAGTAAAAGAAGCGGCGTGTCGGTGGTGCGAACAGCAGACCCTAAGTGAACAGCAGACCCTAAGTGAACAGCACACCCCAACTGAATAGCAGACCCTAATTAAAAAGCACACCCTAAGTGAAGGGCAGACCCTAAGAGAACAGTAGACCCTAAGTGAACAGCACACCCTCATATCACGGAGATGGCAGTGTGGATCACCGCTGGGTGGCTGTGGGTTGTTCCTTGTTGCATTTTGCGACATTGGATATGCATGTGTTCAGGTGGTAATTGGATTGACCCATTGGGTTTGGGGCGCCTCCTAGAGACAGGTCCTGAAAAAGCACTGTGCGTAATTTCGGCTGCGGTGCCATCCAATCGCTTGCCATGCATGTGCTGGGGGCCCCTCGGGGGCCCCTTTTGGTCACAGACATGTTGACTACACTCACAGTGTAGTCCTCACAGTGAGGGGGGGGGGGGGGGGTGAGTCACCGCAGTGTGTAGGTGCAGTGGTAGGGGCAATCACACCGAGCTGCTGATTTGCAGGTGTTGTGAGTCAGAAGCGATCATCTCGGCCTGGGACCTGGACTGATAAGCTGTGTGATCGCTTTATAGACACCCTTATGCTTAGTTCTTGATGCTTTGGTCATCAATCATCCAACTGGACCGCCTCTGGCAGTCCCCACCCAGGCTCCTGGAACTGAAACTCTGCCTGGAGGCCTCCAGTGATCCACTGCTTTAAATGGACAACACATCTGGCCTCAGTCTGCACATCTGTAATCTACTGATGCCTCTCCTGCTTTTTGAACTAGTTTCCTGAAACATGGGGGTCATAGAGAGAACCAGTGCCTCCTGATAACACTAAAGGTATGAAGACCATTATGGTATTTTACTGTGTCCTGTGAATCCTCTCTTCCCAGTCCTCTGTGCTTCCTGGCATCACTACGATTGAATAAAATGTTTCCTCATATTACCGTTTAACGAAACGGTGGGAGGCCTGGAGCACTAGTTTACATTAATGGAGGACCCCCTCACAGCCGTAACAGCATGAACGTTAATCATAATGAGAGTGCGGGAATTACACAGACGCGCTGCAGCCGAAGCTTCATTTACGCGCATGCTTGAGATTTTATAAATAATGCATGAATTTTGCCAGCAAGCATGTTAATATTTTAAATATGCTTGTTAGACTTGGCTAATCACACAGCCTTTTCTTGGGTGGGTGGAATTTGACTTCTTGTTTTGAGTAGTAACTGGATAGAAATAAAAAATTGTTTAGAAGAGATAGAGAGACCAGAGTTACAGGACAAAAAGGAGAGAATTTAATGCGTTTTTTTTTACATTTATTAAAACGTGCCTGTTGTTTATTTTTACATAGCAAGGGCTCTGTCTTCTTTTCAGTGTGGTCTTTCCTGACATCCTGACAGACCACGGCAAGAGAAAAATGGCAAACTCTTTCTGTGTGGGGGAACACATCCTTCTGTAATCTGGTAAAATGACACTCAGACACATTTGACCATGTGCTTTGGTGGAAAGAGATCTTTGGAACTGCTGCCTTCTCTACCGCTCCAGGCTGACTTGACTAACCCTAACCCTAACCTAACCCCTAACCCTGCGCCTCCTTTCCAGCTACCCTAACCCTAATCCTGCAACCCCTCCCCTGTCGCTCCAGGCTGACTGGTATGAACCTGCCTTCACCTGTCATAAGCAGCAAGAACTGGCTGAGGCTCCACTTCACGTCCGACAGCAACCATCGACGGAAAGGCTTCAGTGCCCAGTACCAAGGTAAGGGTGGCAGGGTGCCCCCTGTTCGCTCCCATGGGCATCTTGTTTTATATATTTTTATTACATTTGTCTTTACTTATCTGCTGTTTTAAAATGTGCACTTAAATAGTGCTGGGTGATACAGAAAGTAAATATAAAGGCTATTATTTGTGCACTACTTTGCAGTAGTATTTTGGTTTTCTGTTCTCCTCTGTTGGTAACAGTCAACATGTTCATATCTGAAAAACCAACTACCTCACTAAGAGGCAAAAACCCTCAATCTGCTTGAATAGTTTTAACATATATCTCTCTGTTGAAGCCTAAGTAGCCCAGGAACACATAATTCCCTTGATTTAGAAAGTGTGTTTAAAAGCATCCCTTGGCTGAATACATCTGCTGGCCGTATTCGAAGATGGCAGAAACGCTACAGTCCCATATTATACTGTAATGACGAAATGGCTTGGTGACCGGGGTACGTAGTAATCATATTTATCACACGCCTGCGTACAGCAAGGCCGCAGCCTAAATGCTAATGCCAACATGCCGAATCATTCCCATTACGAGCTTAAACACGGCAGTCAGAGTTCATCTTGCCGTGTACCTGCTCTCTGCCGGCATCTACGTCACAGTTTCCCAGAAATCCATCAATCCCGATTGGTGCTCCCCTCAACTGTGCTAAAACGAGAAAATTCCAAATGATAGCAGCGACCAAATTGCCCCTAGTCGATGCAGGGGTAGATGACTGGTCTGGAGAGCTGCCCGCTGGGAGCAGAGTCACGGCGCGTGAGCTGATTGTGTAGGCAAAACCGTTTAGAGCCGGTCCCTCGTTGCCCGGGAGCCGGCGACTGCGCCATAATCGCCGTCGAGGGATCCAAATTCCAGGTCCTCATTCCTACTGGCCGCCCGTGGGCGGCTCTCAAAAGGAGAGATTGCCTGGCTAATGTGGCCTCTGAGGATGTTCAGGAATCAGCGCCTTCTGCCAGCTGCCATTATTTCACTGACATTTCTACCACTCGGATGCAAAGAGGAAGAGTGAAACCATGTCATCTGATTACTGTACTTTACATGCTAATATGCTAATTGCATGAGCCAATTGAAATTCGCTTTCCTTCTTTTCCCGACAGTAAAAAAGGCCATCGAGCTGAAGTCTAGGGGTGTCAAAATGCTTCCAAACAAAGACACAAGCCACAAAAATGCAGTCTGTAAGTATTGTTTCTCTGCCCTGCCAGAATTGGCATGTTAAATCAGATGGAGGTCCAGAAGGCTGTTTTGTAGGCCTCCGTGGGACTACACATGACAGCCTTAAGGGCTTCAGAATTGCATTGCTGAATGGAGCCACGCTTAATGCACTGATGCCGGCATCCTACTTTCATGATTACAGGCAGTCCCCAGGTTACGAACGAGATCTGTTCCCTAAGACTGTCTTTCAGTTGAATTTATGTAACTTTAGGTAAGTTGGAAAATTAATAGTATAGTACAAAATAATAATAATTATACAGAAATAATAAAAGTAACTACATATGGTACTGTATCTCATGCTGATGAAACACTGAAGCCATGCAATGTTTTCACGAGCGTCACAAACTAATGCATGCGTTCACTATTATGAACCATTGTATTTAATCTGAATTTTTAATATAACAGGCTTTATGGCAGTTCATAAGTCGGGCGTTCTTAACCCGAGGGCTGTCTGTAGTTTTGAGTTTTGTTCCCTTTCAGATGTTGCCGTTTGTGCCGTGTGACTGTAGCACAGGCAGGGTGTTTAGATACCAGAGACACGGAGCTTGTACTGCAGCTCTAAAGTATTCAGTATTCACCCATTTTTCGCTTTTAACTAATTTCAGCTTTTAGTTATGAATTAGTATTAAATATTCATAGTATTCACTTGTTTGCATTAATAATTTTTTATAGCTCCCAAACGGTCTGTGTATAATACATGTTGGGGGGGTGGGGGGTGAAATTTCAGGTTCCTGCTCCACAACACATTAGAGCGTGTTAATAATTTGTGGCATGCCACGCTCCATGAAGCGTGCGCCATTACATGGGGCACGCCGGAGCAGCCTTTCATCGGGGAGCATTTCAAGCTTCAGCCTCGCTAATGCACAATTTGTTATATTTACGCTTCAGAATCTGCAGTCACTGGTATTAATGATGTTTGTTTATGAAGGACGATGTTCCCTTCCTACTCATTCCCGGAAAACCTGCCAATGGTAATGAGGTCCAGTAGCTCATGTCCTCTCCCAGAAATCCAAACTATCTTGATGAACGCCTTTACAGAGAATCCCAATGATCCAGACTATCTTGATGAACGCCTTTACAGAGAATCCCAATGATCCAGACTATCTTGATGAACGCCTTTTGAAGAGTATCCCAATGATCCAGACTATCTTGATGAACATCTATGCAGAGTGTCCCAATGATCCAGAGTATCCTGATGAACGGTTATGCTGAGCATCCGAATTATCCAGAGTATCCTGATGAACGCCTATCTGGAACATCCCAATGATCCTAAGTATTCCAATGAATGCGTGTCTGGAGTACCCCGATCTATGGCAATCCGGAGTACCCCAATGAACGGCAATCCAGAGTATTCTGATGAACTGCCATCTGGAGTATCTCAATAAATCCTACCCAGTGTATCCTGATGAATGGCTATTTGAAGTACCCTGATAAATGGTAATATGGAGTACCCCATTGAAGGACTATCCAAAGTATGCCAGTCATTCGGAATATTCCGAAGAATGGCTATCCGAGTTACTAACAGCCAAGATACTGCGTCAGCTAAAGCATTACCCATTACGACATGGATGTCGGCATGGTACTACTTGGTCAGCTAATTTCATAGTATACATCCACATAATCTGTGCTTGAAATATTGCTATTCAATCCAGGGATGAACACAGCCTTATTGGGGAGGAGCTGAAAAACAGCAAATCAGAAAAAAGGACATTGTCCTTCATCACGGTGCATAACAAAAATCCCGTCTGTCATGATGAGGGGTGATTTCCGCACCTCCGGTGGAAGAGCTCAGGGAGATGTGCGTTTCAGCCGGAAAGCATCTTCTCTAGCTCGCAGACGCCACTAGCACACCTCTTCGACAGCCTTAAAAGAAAGATTCATTTCACTTTGATTTGAATTTTTTTTGTAATTTTGCATTAATGTCTCCTGTAAACCAATCCCATGCTCTTTTTGGATTTATTTGAAGGCACCATTGCGAGAGCCCTTAAACACAGGAATGAGCATGCTTTATTAATGAATGCTATGTCCTGGAATTATTGGCTGTACATCAAGCACCCTAACAGTGATGGAAATGTGACCTAAACCCCCTCCAGGGATCGAAACACATGTTTACCTGCGTGATCTCTAAGAGAGGATCCCAGTGTGTGTGTGTGTGTGTGTGGGGAGGGGGGTGAACCTGTCACGGCTGGAATGTGGTAGAATCATGGTTCACAAATGTTTTATGCCCCCCCAAGCTTGACCCCGGAATTTCCCATCACTCTCCAGCTGGGCTTCTTACATACTGGTGTCTGATTCTGTGTCATGCCAACACATAAAATCTGTACCCAAGCTCTGAACGATCTCCATACATACACACCAGTCAGATCTCCACCAAGCATATGCCCTATCATTAGCGTGGTGCTGCTACAGATCATTAAAGCTCCGTATCTTCTTAAATTGAGGGAAAAGATTTAACCCTAAAATGTCATGTCCATTTTTTTAAATAGCGAGGCCTATAGATCTGGTGTTTTAATTGTAGATCCATCCATTCATTTTCTGAAACCGCTTAATCCCAACTGGGGTTGCCGGGGGTACTGGAGCTGATCCCAGGAACAATGGGCGCAGATGGGAACCAACCATGGGCAGTCGCCAACACACCGCAGTTGTAATTGTAGATGCTTTTGTTTTTCACTAACCATCCCAGAGCTTGTTAGCAGATGAAATGAGGATTTATTTCATTGCAGTTTTCATTGGGACAAGCTGGTCTTTCACTTGTACTGTCTGTCCTCATCATCTTCTGTACTGTCTGTTATAATTGTGTGTAGGTCTGTACTGTCTGTTATCATTGTGTGTAGGTCTGTACTGTTGTGTTCATAGTCTGTATTGTCTGTCCTTGTCATCATCTCTACTGTCTGTCCTCATCATCTTCTGTACTGTCTGTTATAATTGTGTGTAGGTCTGTACCGTCTGTTATCATTGTGTGTACTGCTTGTCCTCGCTAGAAATGACTGTCAGGGTCTGTACTGTCTGTTGTGTTCATTGTCCGTATTGTCTGTCCTTGTCATCATCTCTACTGTCTGTCATCGCCTGTACTTCTTGTACTGTCTGTTGTCATCTTTACTGTATGTTGTCATCTGTACTGTCTGCCATCATCTGTATTATGTGCTGTGTTCATTGTCTGTACTCTGTCCTCATCTGTGCTGTCTGTCTTCGTCATTTTCTGTACTGTTTATCCTGACTTGTGCTGTATGTCCTCGTCCTCATCTCTCTATAGTCATTGCCTTTACTGTTTGTTTTTGCCTATACTGCCTGTTGTCATCTGTTGTCTATATTGTGTGTTGTGTACATTATCTGTACTGTCTGTTTCTGTCTACGTTGCTTGTCCGCGTCTGTATTGTCCAGCACTCATATTGTCTTTCCTCACTCTGGGTTGCCTCTAAATCCATGGTAAAATCATCCTGGGGACTCTCCGCAAGGATACTCTCCATTTCACAGTTTCAGTGGCTTTCTGTGTCTAATTAGTCTTTGTTATGACATCGATAGGAACTTTGTCCTGTTAATGTTTTATTCCCTAACGAATGGCTACTGACCCAGACTTCATTGTCCTCTCGCTGCCATATCGACTGCCCCCCGGTGTGATTTACCATCTCAGATCGCCTCTTCCTGCATTTCACGGCCTGGCTTTGTGTCCTGCCTCTGTTACTGTGCATAGATCTATATGGACATTGACCAGCATTTTTCATTTAAACTGAATAAACAAAAAGGCTCTGCTAATAACAAGGCATGTGATCCTGAACGGTAAAGAAAGGACCATAACTCAGGCAGATGCAGAGCCAGAGTGGAAGAGTGACCTCAGATAACTTGCAAATGAGTGTAACCCTGCCTTCCTCGTTCTTCTTCTTTCAGTGAGCCAAGGAGGCCTGACAGCGGACCTGTGTCCGGATCCCGGCATTCCAGAAAATGGGAAGCGGACTGGGGCTGACTTTCAGTGTGTTTTATCCTGTTGTCTCTCATTAGTGTCAGTGGTAACAGGGTCTGGGGGGGGCTAAGCCATTACCAGGAAAAGCCTTGTCTTCATGGAACACCAGTGGTATGCAGGGGGCCAGGAATGCCAGTGTGTCCCATACCATAACTGGCTTTTCGGCCCCTCTGCTCTAGGGTGGGGGCCAGCATCCAGTTCTCATGCGACGACAGCTACGTCCTCCAGGGGCCAAAGAGCATCACCTGCCAGCGGGTGACAGAGACGCTGGTGGCGTGGAGTGACCACCGACCCACATGCCGCAGTGAGTCTCACCCCCGACGCACTGCGCGTTTCCTAGGGTCACAGAAGCACACACACTTACATAACATCATAGCTGTAATACAAGGGGCTCAGGATTCTTCTCACAATTATCATCATATTCACTGCGTGTCGCTCAGTAGCTTAGGTACCCAGCTCTGTACCCAAAAGGTTGTTGTTTCAAATCTCATGGCTGACAGAGTAGTCATACCACCATTGGGCCCCTGAGGGAGAACCTTAACCCCACCTACTCCGTGGGCACTGGCTGACCCTGTGCTATGACCCTAAAAGTTGACCTCGCCCATGTGTCTCGCATGGAGAACAAGATAGGACATCAGGTCTTTGGTTATTTCATCTGGGTGTCTGAATGACAACAATTTTATTAAGGATGTTTATAAAAAGGGAATGTCTCAGAAATGCTTACATTTTTGCTAAATGTTATGGATAATTTTTGGGCCAGAAAACTATAAAATTTTATGCAGGCCTCACTTGTGAAAAGTTTTCTCTCATGGATAGTTTTCAACCTGAGATAAGGAATTGAAATCCGGACACATTTCATGATGAAGGTTTTCCAGAGGGAGAAGATTAATGCTAATGGACACTGGTGTCAGCCCACTTGAACGTCTCACGTTCATATCTTCAGCAAGTTTCTGAGAATTTCTGCAGATGTGTGTGTATGTAACTATGCACTGTATTCTCATGGACCTCAGCTAAATCAGGAAAAGATGTGTAGTATGTGTAGGTGTGTGCCTAGACATTTACATTTATTCGGTTAAATCTGGACAGTTTTAACCTATTTATTGGTAAAATGGCATCTCTGGTTAATATACATGTCTGTGGGATTATTAAGAGTAACAACAAGGAATAAATAGGTATCTAATTTATAGAAAACTAATCTTTGGAATAGGCCCATGTAATTACTCTCTTCTGTGATTATGATGCTACATATGATTTCGAGAAATGAGTTGTTTGAGCAAAAGCATGTAAATACTTGAAAATCCAAGAAGCAATGCCAGCCTGGTGAGATTGCACTGTCTGGTCCAGGGGTGGAACAAATCTTCTGTCCTGGTTTTATGTCCCAGTTCTGTTCCTGAGTGGTGGATCTCGAGGTAGAATTCTGCTGGTGACATTTAACGCCTGAGTCTGCTTTTGGTTAAAAAGGACAAACCAGACTTTCTTTTTCCATGCACAATGAAAGTGTGGTTTGGAAATTAAATTAAAGCCAGAAGGAGGGGAAGCGGGTGCGGGGGGGGGGGTTTGTGGCTGGAGATGGCCCCCCCAGCAGAGAAAGACTCGGCAGCCAGTTGGCGTTTGGGGGCGCCTGCGTGCGGGTACTGATTCATTTATAGTGGCTACCTTGAAAATAAATTACCTTTCAATAAACAAGCTCCAAAACTACACACACAGTGCTCTCAGGTTTGTCTCTGGGAGCGGAGGCCTGCTTCACTTCTACGTATCTGCTGTGCTCAATCAGCAGTAGATGCCGTGGGAAATCACGGTTTAGCCAGTATCTTACACACACAATAGGGCGTGCTCGTCACCAAGGCGAAATGGGGTCACTTCCTCCCTCATCTCACACATCAGCCAGTACGGACTTGGCCTCCTAAGAGATGATGCAGCCACTTTGGCTGCCAAGAGACCCTCTGGATAACAGGCTTTACTTAGTTTGTCCTGGTTTCCACTGTAGGACCACAAGATTGTCAGATGACAACAGTCAAACCTCCAAGCCCTCAGATCAATCTGCAGTTTCACGAGACCTGTTAACATTTCTGTGGTCAGATTGTTGGTTCGTCTTCGCCGTTAAGTCGTTAGAATGTCGCAGTGGGGCACTGAAACACAGCCTCGATCACATGTGGGAAGCGGGTGTGTCCGTGGGCTGTGCCCAGGGAGGCAGATTCGGAGCTGGCCGTGACGTTAGTGGGGATAAGGCAAAGCAGTGTGACAGGCCTGTGCAGGAAGGATAACTGGTTTGACAGTTCCCCTGCAAGCTTTCTCTGGGCTTCCTGATTGATCAGGACACTTTCAGTCGGGCGTCACCTGGCAACCACTTACGGACGGTACTTTAATTACTTTGCTCACTTCGTCCCGTGGCTGAGAGATGCCCTAAAAAAATGAGGATGCATAGGTTTCTGGAACTTTCTGCAGTTTCTCAAAAGTGCCTGCTTAAAGTAAAAAGGGGCTTGTTGTCAGTTCCGTCTCCATGTGTGAAGGTCCCAGATTCTCCTTGTGGTCTCCTGGGCTTTTCCTTGCTAGTCTGACTTCCTCTCGCAGTCCAAAGACCGGAGACAGTGACTCAGAATCAAATATGGGTATTTATTCCTCATATTGTTCATATCTGGATTGTTATTTCAGTATTGCTTTTTACCTTTAATTTCAGGGGGTGTTTGTGTAGTTCCTCACTTCTGTGTTGCTGTTTTCATCCTAATGGAAACTGACAGCAGAATGAAGCAGTTTACACAGGCAGCCTCACAGAAGCACGCACACTTAATGCTGATGTGCTGGCAGCTTTTCACCTAGAGATGAAAGTGTTTTGAATAAAAATCTATTATGTGACAAGCTTATATAGATACCTGGGATGTAATCCATTTTGTTTAAAGAGGAATTTGACCA